AGGGGAGGAGAAAGAAGCAAGTGGAAGGAGTCAGAGAGGACAGATTGGGAAGAGAGGACTTGGAACCATGAGGAGAGATGAATCAGACCTCAGAAATGACTTAAAAAATAAATAAATAAATAAATAAATAAATAAATAAATAAATAAATAAAAGGATAATGTGGGAAATCTGAATGGGAGGAAACTATGCAGGCTTGGAGGTTTAGGACGGAGTAACTATTGCCCAGCACTGTGCTCTAAGTTAATTAAATAAATCCTAGTCTCTGTGTGGTGATTTGGGTATACAGCTGGTTTAGGATTAACCACTGTTTAACTAAAAGATAAATCAATGTTAAACTTTAACCTTCAACAGCACTGGGCCATCACCCTTGCCAACATCTTTCAGCATAACCCACAGGTTCTATTGGTTTTACCTTCTCACATTAATCCTCATCTCCAGCTTCATTGACACTGGTTTCTTCAAAGTTTCTTGACCTCCTGAGGCAATGTTAAGTTTCTTCCGTTGTCTTCCTAGCACATTTTGTGTATAATCTCATTGTCAGACTTCATAAATATTCACATTTGGTTGGAATAAACCTTCTTAGTAAGGGACTAATAAACCTTAGTCCCTTCTTAACCACTGAATGATGAAAGAAAGTACTTCTTTAGAAAGTAATGTTGGACTGGGGGTATACTTCAATGGTACACTCCATACTTTTCAAATACAAGGCCCTGGATTCCATTCCTGCCCTAAGACCAGCGAATGAACAAATAAATACAAACATATTGTTTCTCTAGCATCTACCATATAGTAAGGCTCAATGAGGGTTTGAGAAAAGACTACATCAGTTCTGTTGGACCTAACAGGCCACATGCCAGATTCACTGCAATATCAATCAAGCATTTGGATAGAAAGATGAGAAAGTCTCTGTTTTGGAGCTCAGTTAACAAGGAGCTATATAAAGAATTAAAACACTGGGGCTAAATAGTGGCACTCATATCTTGGCAGTAACTAACAGCTATCTAGTTAGACTTACGGCCTGTGCAGAACAAGGGAAATAGTGCCTGGTACTTGAAATCTAACCAGTGAGGAATTCATGAGGTCATGGGTCTTAATGAGAACTACTATCACTACTTCACTAAATTCAATCCTATTTGCATTCTGAATACTTCTCCATATACCCATATATAAACACAGCTTCCAATCCTCACCAAAGAAGCTTATCTTCAAAACAGAGATCATTACAGAAAAGCACAACTAGTCAGAATACAGGGAATGGCTGATATGGTATTCCCAGCCACATGGATATATTTACAACACAACTTCTTCATCTAAGGCTAGGAAACACTGCAAAAGAAGAGATTATAAGAGCCAGAGACTTAGAAGTCTGCTGTGAGAATGTGTCTCATAGAAATGACAGGGAAGCTACACTTATGATACCTCAACAATATGGCTGCCTAACTGAACAATGCCAATACCATTAGACATGTGGACACAGAAGGGAAAAATCTCATGGGGAACCACCCAGACAAAGAACTATAGGCAACTAAGGTATGCAGAGAGTGGAAAAATAGTCTTCCCTCAGGAAGGAGGTCCCTAATTGATGATCCCAAGTGGCCAGCCTGGAAACCATGTACATGCAAGCAACACTGAAAGGACTTAGCAGGAAGTATTTATGTATTTATGCGTATATGTGAAAGACCCCAGCCTCACACTAAGTTAAACATGGCTAATGCCATTTTGTGAGACACCACTGTTTTGTAAAACTCTGAAGGCCAGATGAGAAACTGGAAAATCACTGAGAAATCCTAGCTGTGTCACCCACTTGGGATATCTGTGGTCAGGCTGCCCCAGTCATACTAAAAACAGTTTGTGTTAATCACTCTCATAGATATCTGTGAGACTGTTTCAGCTAAGATAGGGAAAAACAAAATAACAGGTGGCGGGCCACGTCAAGGGGTCATCCTACCCCCCTTGACCACCCAGTTCCTGGAATCTTGGTGCCCCTGCCAAACTTTGACGCAAATTGTGGTCTCGTGTAAACGTACCAATCAGCCCCCTGTAACCATGCCCTCTCGTGTCTGTACCAGTGCTTCTGCCTCTAAAACCCTATAAAAACCCCAGCTTCCCATCTAGGGGGCGCGGAAGTCTTCCGAATGACTTCTCGCCCCGGGTACCCGAGTATCAAAATAAAAGCCTCTTGCTGTTTGCATCCGAATGGCCTCGTTGATCCTTGGGAGGGGGTCTCTCTGACGGAAGATACCCTCCGGGGATCTTTCATATGTGTCTGTGGTCACGCTAAGTCAAAACATTTTAGAGGGAGGAGAGGAGTACAGGAGGAGCTGGAGGAAGAAAGGGGAATAGGAGAAAATCATGCAATTATATTCTAATTTTAAAAAGTTAAAAAGAGAGAGAGAATTCTGGGGCTGCAGTGATGGCTCAGTGGCTGAGTGTGTACTGCTCCTGCAGAACACCTGAGTTTGGTTCCTGTCACCCACATCAGGTGGCTGACATTCACCTGTGACTCTGGCACACATCCACACATGACATAGAATACACTGGGCATGCACACAGCACATAGACATATACACAAAACACCCATATAAATTAAAAAAACAACAAAGAGTAGGCCAAGGTGGTACATGCCTGTAATCCCAGCACTCTGGGAAGCAGAGGAAGTTGAACCTCTGTGAGTTCGAGGCAAGCCTGGCCCACAAATCGAGTACCAGGACAGCCAAGGCTACACAGAGAAACCCTGTTTGGGAAGAAGAAGGAGGAGGAAGAGGAGAAGTGGAGGGGGGAAGAGGAGGAGCAGTCAGGAGGAGGAAGAGGAAGAAGAACAACAACTAACTTAGAGCTTGAGAAATCAAGAAATTCTAAACCTGTAGTCAAACACTCAAACATGACTGCATCCAGACAGCTAAATATTAGAATCACAAGCCTGGAGAGGTAGTGCAGGCCTGTACTCCCAGCACTCGGGGAGGCAGAGGCCAGAGGATCTCTGTGAGTTCAAGGTCAGCCTGGTCTACAAAGCAAGTCCAGGAGAGCCACTGTCTCGGAAAAACAAAAATTAGACTCACTTAAGGAACTTCAAAGACAAACCAAAAGCCAAGCTTCAACCCAAACTAATCAAGGTTTCTAGATGTGGGTCCCTACTATGAGGTATAGCTTTAAATCTCTTAAAAAGTGCAATATACTGATAGGGGAGGTCCTCCTCTCCTTCCTTCTGATCTTAGACTATCAGTTCTCATCAGAAGTGGCTGCATTGTCATCTTCTGTGGCCTGGTAAGGCTGCTCCCCCCTCAGGGGGAGGTGATCAAAGAGCAGGTCAATCAGATTATGTCAGAGGCAGTCCCTCTTCCCATTACTATGTAACCCACTTGGATACTAAACTGGGGAGGGGCATGCGTGAAGAAGGGGGAGGGAAGGTGGGACCGGAAGGGGAGGAGAGAGGGGCTATGGGGGGATACAAAGTGAATAAAGTGTAATTAATAAAATAAAATTTTAAAAAATGCAAGAAAAACAAAAAACAATCCATCTATTTCTTACTTCCTAAAAAAAAAAAAAATGCAATTTACAGGCAGAGAGGTCAACCACCAACCTATCTTAGGGAGGACAAGATATGAGCCAGAATATTGTGGTTTCTTTAGTATTGGAACTTTTAGTGGAGGAGGAAGCTCCTGAAGAGTTTAAGTTAGCTTGAATATAACTCCATTTTGAAATAAAGGTCTTGACTGGGACCTGAATTCAGGCACCAGGAAATATCACAAAATGTGCACTTGGCAGAAAACAAAGTTAACTCTCCTAGCAACAGCTTCCAAGAAATATCAGAGAATAAATGCTTCATAGAAAATAGAGATAAGAACCCTGCCCCCTGACCCAAATCTATAAAAAGGACCGTTTTATTCAATAAACCGAGTTCCTGTTCAACAGAAAAAAAAAAAAAAATAGAGATAAACTCCCTGGCAATAATCAATGGGAATCGGTTGGAAATCAGGTGGGAAAATTCTCCCCAATGTTTGAGATATGGTTTAGAAAAATGGCCATCGTGATTGTGTGCCTCACCCCTGCCCTGCTAAACTTCACCCAATTCTGTAACACCAAGGCTTGTGCCCCCATAATTGCTGTCATGGAAACCTCCTGCTCACAGACTTTCCCTTTAAAAACCCTGTTCACTCAGAGCTCAAGGTCCCACTTCTCTAATGCTACGTCAGAGAGACTTGGGTCCCGAGTTCGATCCCTCTCATAATAAAGCTCTCCTGCTATTGCATGGAGTCATCTCCTGATAGTCTCTGAGGGTCCCGTGAACCTGGCATTACACTCCCACTCACATTCAGCCAACAGGAGTCACTATGTACTAACTTTGATTGTTGCAGTGGAATCCGTCCAGGCATGGTGGCACAGCCTTTAATCCCAGCAAGAAAGAGGCAGATCTCTATGAGTTCAAGGTCAGCCTGGACTACACAGAAGGATTCTAGGACAGCTGAGGTTACACAGTAAGACCCCTTCTCTGGGGTGTTAGGAACTTATGTAAGATAACACAGAATCGTACTAAACTCGGTCCTCGGGAATTTTATTTACATTCCTTTCTTTCTCAAAGAAAGAACACTAGAAGGTGTGCTTTAAAAATTGTTAAAGACTTTGAAAACAAAAACAAGAGCAGTTCCAGACAAAAGGAATCCCCAAATAAGTGCTCCCTGCAATCGGGGAAGCCGGTGATAAACTCATGCACACCTTTAATCCCAGCACTCTGCCACGAGGCAGAAGCAGGAGGATCTCGGTGGGTTCCAGGGCAGCCTGGACTGAAACAGCGAGGCCCTGTCTTTAAAAACAAATCAAGCCACGGCCCCACACCTCCCCAAGAAAAAGCACAACACTAAAAAAAGAACACGAAAGACAAGGGGAGCGCAGCGAACCAACAACGGAAGGACCTCCCAGGGACCGTAAGGCGGTGGCCGGGATCGGGCAACGATTTACGACCTCTGTCGGTGATGCCTCACGACGCCTGCCGTAAAGGCCGCCTGTGGCGCATGCGCAGCGCACGCACAACTCCTCTTGGCTTTTCGGAATCCGAACGCGGTCGTTGCTGAGTAGTCTCCGTTCCGCTGGTCGGTCGGCACCATGGTGAAGCTGAGCAAAGAAGCCAAACAGAGGCTGCAGCAGCTCTTCAAGGGCGGCCAGTTTGCCATCCGCTGGGGCTTTATTCCTCTCGTGATTTACCTTGGTCAGTAGTTGAAGAACTTGGGAGGAGCTCAGGGCTGGGCTTGTTGGGTCTGTGAATCTTGGTTTTTTTGGTCTTCTGGGGCGGGGCAAATAAACAGGGTCACCGTGGTGTCCACGTGTTTTGAGGCTGTCTAGCCGGGCTGGAGAACCCAACTTCGAGTTACTTCTTTTACCTATTTGGATAGTATTTAGCCAGTCACACAGACCGTCATATTCCATACTTATATCTGTAAAATAAAAGCAAGACTTTTCAAGATTGATTTTAGAATTATATGGCCCCTAAAGAAAGATTAATCCCCTATTTGGTTTTCAGAGCGTTTCTCCTGCTGTAGGTTGGCCTAAGTGAAAAGATGCTAGATCAGGTTAAAAGTCACCCCCTTGCAGCGTGATTGTGACAGTAGTTGGACGCCTAAGCTTTCTTAATTGTATAATGAATTTCCCCAAACGTTACTGACCTCATTTTTCAAAGAGGGAAAATCATACCTTTCTTGCCCAAGTGTCCATGCAAATATTTTCCCTAAGGCTGCACACTAAATCCCGTTCCTGATTGAGTACTTTTTTCATTTTTAATTTTAATTGCCTTATTCAGTCAATAACGTAAGAGAGAATCAGCATAGGATTTTTAGCTCCAGCTCTCTGGGCTTGAATAACGTATTTTGACATTTCAGAGTCCTCATTTCACATGTTAAATCAGGGCTCTCGAAAGGTGCCGCTTCCCATTTGTTTTAGATGACTTAAGATAAAATACCTTCATTCATGGTCCTGACAGAGCCCTTTAGGGTGGGCATTCTCCAGGCAGTTGTACTTGTGAGCTGTGATAGCCTGGATATTTTAATAAGTCTTAAATATTTTTTATTCATTATTATTGTTGTTGAGACAGTGCCTCATGTAGCTCAGGCCAACCTTGAACACCTGATTCTTTTTTCTACCTTTCAACTGCTTAAATTACAGGCCTGCGCCATCACATCCCGCTCTATCCTCTATTTTGAAAGAAAAAAAAAGAAAAAAACTCAGACAGTGACTTTATTTAGTGTTAGAATAAAGAAAGTAATTGTGACAGCTTACTCTTTTTTTACTTGTTTTGAGAAGAGGGGGATTTCTCTCTGTGGAGCTCTGGCTGTCCTGGAATCACTAGGTAGGGCAGGCTAGCATCCTGCAGAAATCCTGCCTACTTAGGCCTGAGCGCTGGGATTAAAGGCAAGTGCCACCACACCCTGCTGACAGTTTGTGGGCCGTGTTTGTTTGTTTGTTTTTTTTGTTTTGGTTTTGGTGTTTGGTTTTACAAGACAGGGTTTCTCTGAGTAGCCTTGGCTCTCCTGGACTTCCTTTGTAGACCAGGCTGGCCTCCAGTTCACAGAGATCTACCTGCCTGAGTGCTGGAATTAAGGTGTGCACCACCGTTTACCTTAATAGGCTATATTGTCCATACAAGTCTTTGCAGCCCCTCCATTTTCATAGTCTCTGTAGGGGAGGCTGGCTGAACTTGCAGCCCTGCTTCAGTCTCTGGTAAAATTGGAATTACAGGTGCACTGGACTCTTCTCCTTTGTCGATTTACCTTTCTCCTCCCTCTCCCTCCCCCCCTTCCCGCCAAGATTAGGCCCTTTCATGAAGCCTAGGCTGCCTTGCCTGTAATCTCAAACTCCTCCTGTCTTCCACTTTTGGCTTATGAGTGTGCACAGCTCTGTATAGATTGGGATTCTGCTTAGCTGGAAGCTGTAGCTACTTGTCAGAATCTTCAGTCTGAGGCCGGGTGATGCACATTGGTTCCTTTCCTAGGACTTGTCGTTCAAGCCAAGGTTGATGTTACTAGGGCTGCCCTTCCAGTGCTTCTCCTTATTTATCGAGGTCTGTCCCCATACACTGATAGGAAGTTGGATTTCATGCTTAAGCTAGTTCCCAGGTTCTGCATCTGTCTTCTCTCACTGAAACCTGAAACTGCAGATTATCTTATGTACTTCCAGTGTATTATTAGTATTAGTATTGGTACTTTTGAGACAGGTCTTTTCTATTACATAGCTCTCCTGGAACTCACTATGTAGACCAGGCTGGCCTGGAACTCACAGAGATCTTCCTGCCTCTGTCTCCAGAGTGCTGGGATTAAAGATAAGTGTTATCATGCCCAGCTGTAATTTATTTTCAAGCATGTTTTAGTGCTTCATAAAAGGATAGCATTAGAGAATATAACAGAAAAGAATCTATCTGGACAGTTACCAATAAAAAGGGTTTTTGTTGTTGTTGTTGTTGTTGTTTGCTTGTAATTGAGACTGGGTCTCACTGTGTTGCCTGGCTATGAAAAGCAACCTGGTCTGTGATTAAAGGCATGTGTGCCACTACACCAAGCACAATAGGTCTTTGTTTTGTTTTTGGAGATAGGGTTTCTTTGTGTAGCCTTGGCTGGCTGGGAACTCACTGTAGAACAGGCTGGCCTCAAACTCACAGAGAGCCACCTGTCTTTGCCTCCCCAATACTGGCATTAAAGGTGTGTGTCACCATCAATTGGAAAATAGGTTTCTGTAGTTTCTTGCTTTGCTGTAGCCCTTAGCATATCTCTAATGACTAGTCTGCATTATCTTTTGAAGATGTTCATAAACCAATTAGCCTTGGAAAATAGTACCTCTCTCCAGAAACATAGTTACAGCCTGTTATAAGAGGTTCTGGTTCCCAAACTCAGGGGTCCTGTCTGAGGCCAGGTGCTGTCTGACTTCTTTGCTTGGGCTTCGCATTAGGTCTTACCAAACTTGGGATATTTCCATAGACACCCAAGTGTCTGGCCACTATACCCAGCACCTCACAGGTTTTGACATTCTTAATTTTAATCAGTTATTCAGGAAATTAATACATACATCATCAACTGAATTTAAATTGTTTAAATAGTGAAGGTTTTTTTATTTGTAATTAGAATACATTGTAAATAGGTAGATAAAAATAGTAAATAATTTTTCTCGCCTTTTCTATCGTGAGTCTTTATTAAAGAGAGAATAAAGAAGATATCTTCAATTATACTTTCAAAAAAGATATGATCTTCCTTCATATTTTCTTCATAGTTTCCCAGTATGGCTTGGGACTTGTGCTAGTCTTGGGGAGTGACTGAATGGAAAGTAGGGCATGGTAAGATTGACTCTGTTGGGCACAGTGGCACACGCATATCATAGGACTGGGAGGCTGAGGCAGGCAAATCTTTGTGAGTTTGAAGCCAGCCTGGTCTACAAAGTGAGTACAGGACAACCAAGGCTACACAGAAACCCTGTCAAAGATTGACTGTGCTGATGGCACAGTAGAAACAACTGTCCTTTGGGCTGAGTGGTCCAGGATGCTGCTCCAAAATCTGGTGAAAACTAGGAACTTTCAGCAGCACAGGTCAGCTGAGACAGCTGTCCCAGACTGGATTGAAGGAGATTTGATTGTAAACTTTTTGTCTGCTGTGCTTGTAATTGTTTTATTTGAAACTTTCTTTTTTCCTTCAGGCTTTACGAGGGGTGCAGATCCTGGAATGCCTGAACCATCAGTTTTAAGGTAATGCTCTTGAAAATCAACATTGGAGGGCAGATGCTCATATGTTAATTGGTTTTGAGTCCTTGGGAAGCAGAACCCATAACTTCACCAGTCATAATCTTGGGTTGTTGGAAAAAAATTGTGGACTAGTCTAGCTCATGTTAACTACTGTGTATCTGCTTTGCTTTCTTCCCTCCACTTCAAAATCATTATTTACTATGCTAGTATCATGATACACATTTTTAAAAGAAAATAATTTATTACCTTATGCCGTGAAAGTATAACCTTTTCTATCATATCCTAACAGGATACATAGAATATTGGTCTTTTCACCTAAAATTAGAAGTGCTAATCCCATATATTTTCCACTTGTCAATTACTTAGGTTTTTCCGTATTCTTCATAACAATATAATATTAAAAGTTTTAAAATTATTACTATTAAAGTGTAATTAAAAATAAAATAAAATTTAAAAAATTATTACTATTACTAATTTGTATTAGTATTTTCCTTGTATGTATGTGCACTGTGTGTGTGCCTGATGAGCATAGAGGCCAGAAAAGGGTATCAGATTCTGTAGAACTGGAATTACAGATAGTTGTTAATTTCTAGATGTAACTGCTGGGAATTGAATTCTGGTTCTCTGGAAAAGCAGCCAGTGCTCTTAATCGCTGAGTTCTCTCTTCAGCTCCCCAAGCATTTTAATGCATATAACTTTTATTGATTTTATTTCTTTATGAGATTAGTAAATTGAAGTATATGAATACATATAGCTTCAAAAATGCAGTGTCACATCTGTTACCCAGACATATTCTTGTTGGTATTACATAAACTGCTTGAAAATTTCATGCACACAGTTTACATATTAACGTGTGTGTGTGTTTATTATTAGTCACCTTCCTATTGTAACAAGTTAGTTTATAAGGAGGAAAGGTTTATTGGGCTCACAGTTTCAGAGGCGTTAGGCTATGGTTGCTCGGCCTGTTGCCTTGATCCCTGTGACACAGTCCCTGGCTGTAGTAGGAGTGAAGGATGCCTCCTGGTGATGGGGAAGCCAAGAGAGCACAGGCTGAGTCTGAATGTCCCATTCAGGAACATGCCCCATGGTCCAACTTCTCCCATAAGACTTTGCTTTGTATTTATTTTTTTAAAGATTTATTTATTATTTATATAACATTCTGCCTATACACCAGATCTTACTATAGATGGTTGCAAGCCACATGTACTTGCTGGGAATTGAACTGAGGGCCTTTGGAAGAACAGTGAGTGTTCTTAACCTCTGAGCCAGCCCAAGACTTTGCTTTTTAAAGCTTCTATCATTTTCCAGTATTTCTTACAGGCCGGTCAGTAGAGCTTTTAGTATTTGAGCTTTTGAGCACATTGAACTTTTAAAATGTTGCAACTTGTGAAAATGTGTATAAATGGTGTAGAAATATTCTTGTAAAAGCAGAGTCTCAAAAGGTAGGTGCTCCAGTCATAGCGGCCATTTCAGCTGTGTTTCAGACACTCATTGTTACCCTAACAGCCTTCATTTGATACACCAGGTATTCAGTTTCTTCAAACCTTCCTCCGAGTCACTTCTTTTTAAAGAATGGACAGAAAATACAGATTGGGTATTTTGTGCTTGAAGTGTTCATACTAGAAGTACTTCCGATTTCAATATTTCTTTCTTTTTTGGAATGCTGGGGGATTTGAACCCCAGGCCTTGTGCATGTCAGGCAAGCATTCTGCCAGTAAGAGGTACACCCCAACCAATCCCTCTCATTTCAAATTTTCAAGGCGTGGGCAGTTTGCAGTAATATCACTCATACCTCAACAGGCCAGTTACTTTAGGTGGCTTGTACATTTTGCTGCAGTTATCACGTCAGAGCAGAGCTGGCAGGTAGTAGACCATCTCCAAATCCTGTATAGCCTTTGTACAGGGTTGCATAGCCTGCTGCAGGTTATCTGACCAACATTTCCTCTGCTTTGTGATACAGTTTTTTCCCATTCCTCCGCTGTGGTCTCTTTTTCAGAAGAGATTTTGCTTTCAAAGAGTTTCCACTCTGAGTGCCCTCAATTTGCCCAGTGTACAGTTAAAATGTTCCTGTTAAAATTCTTCATAGATGGTTTTCATTTTTGTTGTTGTTTTTCAGGAGTTTCGCTGTGTCTCCCTGGCTGTCCTGGAACTCAGAGATCCACCTGCCTCTGCCTCTCCCCCTCCAGCACTGAGATTAAGGGGTGTGTCACCCTCACCCAGCTGCTCTTCACTTTTTTATTTCCTCATTTTATTCTTTTCTTTGGTCTGTTATGACACCACTTCTCTTTTGTGTGGGGATTTATTTTTTGGAGGGGGTTACAGGGTGTTGGGGCAAGCTTGTGTATCCCAAGATGGCCTTGAACCCAGCCTCCTGAGTGCTAGGATCACAGGAATGCATTTCATGGAATGGTTGCTTAAAATTCCCTTCATGGCTTCCCATTAAGTCCTTTTTTTTTTAATAGTTCATAGAAACTATGACTTTCTATTTTTGTGACATAGGAGTACGGTAGTATGTCTGCTCTTGATTGGCCCAGTTATCTATAAAAATAACTTTTATTCTCTGATTCAGTTGTCTCTGAGGCTTGCTGCCTCTGTCTGCTAACCTACACCTAGTCCTGGAAGCTTCTAGCCTCTGTACGATCTAACCTAGGTCTACAATGTTTCCAACCTCTGAGAATTACTGTTGAATAAACTCACCCTTTTTTTATTCTTTCTGAGCTAGCTGGTTCAATTCAGCTCTTCTGGCTCAAACTCTTCTCCCAGCTGGCTTATTCAGTCTGTCGTCTCTGTCCGCAAACTGCTCTGCTTGGCCTCAAACTAACTCAGGCAATCTGCTCTAATCTCCTGGCTCCTTCTCTTCCCTGGCTCCTTCGGTCTTCACCTGAGTTCTCTCTCTACAACCCATCTCTCTTACTGTCACAGGAGAACTGCCTCCTCTCTTTGCATTACCCTTTCCTTTCTCTTCTCTTGAAAAGAGAATAGGACGTACCCTATTCTGACAAGTCTTTCTCTGATTCGTCACCTTTCCTACCTCACAATTAGGCATCATTTTCAAACTTGGGTGTTTTCTTCTACAAACTAACTTTACTGTCATTGTTTGGGATTAAAGGAGTGTACCACCACACCCGGACCTAAGCTTTTATATTTACCTGGTACTTGCTCTATAGCAGGCTGGCCTTGAACTTGGATCTGATTGCTTCTGTCTCCTGGATTAAAGACTTGTTTGTATTCTAGCCAGATCACACAGACCTAGAAGGTGATCTCTTGCTGGAACAGCCATGTTCTGAATTAACATTCCTCTACAGTTATCTCTTTAAAGAAATATTCATTTAAGACACATTATTATAGAAGTCACTACTGTACGAATCTTTGAGTATTTTTTTAAATATTGCAAGGTATCAAGAATGTTTCCTCAAGAGGCCCTTGAGCCTTCAAAGCTATTTCTCTTTTTATAGTTTGGGTATAATACCTCCTAAATTAGGTTACCATGAGAATATAATAATGTATTATGTAAATATTAGCAGCATTTACCAGATGATTTTGTCCAATAAACTTTTGTTGTTGTTTGTTCTTTGGAGACAGGGTTTCTCTATGTAGCTGTGGCTGTCCTGAAATTGACTATGTAGACAAGGCTGGGCTTGAACTCAGAGATCTACCTGCCTCTATCTTGCGTGCTGTTTAAAGGCATGTACCATCACTGGCTTTGAACTTTTGATCTCCTGCCTCTGCTTCCTGAGTGCTAAGCTATAGTCTTAATCCATCCCACCCAGTTAAAACATAAGTAAGACAAATATATTAACTAAAAGAATCATTTCTATTATCTGTATTAGACCAAGAAAGATTGTCTTTTTTCTTTATTTTGTGTTTTCACTCCAGTGAGAAAGAAATCTTAATAGGTGAAGAGTTTGTTTTAATATCGTAGTTGTATGTAAAAATCCTTGTATTCAGTTAATATTTGATAGATAATGGTAAATGCATGTTGTGTTTTGTAGGCATAGAAAGGTCTAAATGGCCTTTAAAAATAAACCACAGAACCTCATTGTCATTGAGTCACATTTTTAATCAGAATGAGTTAGACATGAAATTCTGTTGATGCTTTATGTAATAAGAATATACGTTTCTTTTCTTTCTTGGATCCTGGTGCCCCTCATTCCCTTTAACAAATGCTGTGGGAATTTGTGCCCCTTTGTGAATTAAACATTTTGGGTAAGAGTTAGCAAAAGTGGAAATAGTGACTAATTGTTTTCAGTGACGTGGGTAGGCTAAGGTCAAGGCCCTCAGGTCATATTCATTCTCCCGATTGTGTAGCCATTTCCATGTCAGAATCGTGGTCGCTGATAAGCGGAAATGGTAACTGCAGTGTGGACTTCCCATAGAATCTCACTCATCGAGAGTACTCAGGAAAGGGCTTTTTTGTTGGTGCTTTATATAATAGCATTTTATTTCAGTTCCCTGGTCCTTTTAGTTAATGAGGACCATTGTTTATCTTTTTATTGACTTCCTTTTAGATAGAAACTGAAATTATCCCTTCCTCAAGGTAAACCATATTCAAAAGTAACAACTGTATTTCTGTTTGTTTGATCTTGTTTTGTTATTTTTAATTTGTCTACTGATGGATTCTTGTCCTCTAGTAACTGAGTTTAAAAGGGAAACACAAACAAATGTCTAAGGCTTAGTTCTTCAGCTATGTGTAGAAAGGTGTTTCCATGTTTAATTTATTTTTTTCTCTTTATAAATGTTTTAGCCTACTTTGGGGATAAAGGACTGTTTGGTCATCTGGATTTGGAAGAATTCAACACGGAAGGTGTGTACCCTGGCTGGATAAGAAGGGAGCTGTCATTTCAACACATCTGTAACAGAGCAGAGCCTGTACTTATGATAGACTATCAGAATAAATATTTTTAACAATGTTGTTTTGTCCGTAAACTTTTTGGAACCTTTGTGTGTCTCTGTGTGGGTGCTTGTGTTCTGTTGTAACAGTGTGGAGGTCAGAACAACCTACTGCAGAAGTCCATCCCCTTCTGCTGTGCGGCCTGGGAGCTAACTCCAGATGGAACTTGGTGGCAGATGTTTTTCCCCACTGAGCTGTCTGTCTGGTCTGCCTTGAGCTTCCTTGAATTAAATATCCTGGGACTATTAGGTGAAAATCAAGCCTTTTATTACTTTTTTTTTTTTAAGAACAGGAAATCTATGGGTATGCTTGGATACTGCCTTAAAAAGTAAAAACCTTTCCAAGTGAATTCCTGGTCGTGCACAGTGGCCTGCAGCTTCTCTTTGTGGTGAATTTATAGTCTCGCAGAAACCTGCTAAGTGGAGAGAGTGGAGTGTACCACTGCACTGACGTGAGCTTCTGACTGTCAGACTTGAGGGCATAGAGACTGCTCGGGGCGAGAATGGGGTGGGAGAATTGTGTCTGATTTGTCTGTGGGTTAAATGTGAGTCTAGAATTTTTGGGGTGTGAGCAATGTAGAGCTGACTTGAGAAGAGGCTGGACACTGCATATCATAGCAGCACTTATTCCAGTAGACGAAAAGCAGCTGATGGAACAAGTCAGTTCTAGAGATTGGTTCCCTGCGATTTCTACTTGTATTTTACTTTGACTTTTTTTTTTTTTTTTAAGAATTTATTTATTTTGTATACAGTGTCCTGCCTGCATGAAGGCCAGAAGAGGGCACCAGATCTCATTGTAGATGGTTGTGAGCCACCATGTGGTTGCTGCGAATTGAACTCAGGACCTTTGGAAGAACAACCAATGCTCTTTAACCTCTGAGCCATCTCTCCAGCCCTGATTTTGACCTTTAAAAAAATTTTTTTTCAGGGCTGGAGAGATGGCTCAGAGGTTAACACTTGCTGTTCTTCCATAGGTCCTAAGTTCAATTCCCAGCAACCACATGGTGGCTCACAACCATCTATATTAAGATCTGGTGTGTAGGCAGAATGTTGTATAAATATTTTTGTAACAATTTGTATAGTCCAGGCTGTCCTGGAACTCATTCTGTAGACCAGGCTGGTCTTAACTCTGATTCACTGGCCTCTGCCTCCCAAGTGCTAAGATTAAAGGCGTATACCACCACGCCTGGCTTATTTTAACCTTATTTTTATTTTGTTTTTTGAGAAAAATCTTAACTGAGTAGTCCAGACTGGCCTTGAACTTACTACCCTGCTGCCTTTTTCTTTAGTGCTGGGATTACAAATATGTCCCACCTTGCTTGCCTTTTACTATATTTGAAGCCTGTTACTGTTTTTCATGCTAACAACTTCATTTACTTACTTGGAAGATAAAATTAATGAAACAAGGTAAAACCTACACAAGCTATAAATCATTTGAGATGGGCCCATTGACTGAATGTTTACAAGCATGATCATGAGTATGCTTTCTGCCTGGACTGCCATGACAAAAAACAAAACAAGTCCCCCAGCATCCCCTCCCTTTTCTAATGGAAATAACTTAGCTAGGGAAGTCCTCACGTTTTATGTTTGCCATGGAGGCAGAAGCCTGGAGGCTTACTGCATAAATCATGCAATTTTTTGAAAGATTTAATTATTTTATATATGGGTGCTCTATCTGCATGTGCATGAGCATTCCAGAAGAGGCTTTAGATCCCAGTATAGATGGCTGTGAGCCACCAAGTGATTGCTGAGACTTGAACTCAGAACCTTTGGGAGAGCAGATAGTGCAGGATTTCTAGAATTAAGGAAGTAAAGTTGGGGGTAGGGCTGTCTGTTTTAATGAAACAGTAATAGGGATAGTACCTGGTTTTGTATTTCAGGGATTACCTTGAGCTGACTACTGAAGATTTTAAATGAACTTAAGTGTCTTTCTTGAACAGTGACTCTAAATTATCTTAGTAGTTTGGAGACATTGAATTCAGTGTAAGAGAGGCTGGGCTTACGGTTGGTAAGACCCTTGCCTACCATGTGTAAAGGCCTAGGTTGATGACCAGCACTGTCAAAAATAAAGATTGCCGTGTCTTCACCCACTTTCCCATGGCAATAGAACATTCCAAACCCATGTGGAGTCCTAAAGAGGTTGTTGGTACGGACCAGCCAACAGGGATGTGATGCCTCAGCACAGGGGCCTCTCCAGGCCTATCTCCTTAAAGCCAGAGCTGCTCTACAACTCCTGCCCCAACCTCTGGGAACAGTCATCTGTTGGCTATTTCGAGAAAGCTCTATAAATTGACCAGCCTTGGGGGACTGTCTGTTTTCATTTTATTTTTTCTATGCTCATGTAGGTGACAAGTGCCTCATTTATGTTTATGACGTACATGTTGACTGTCGGTGTCTATGTACCTATTTTTAGCTGTAAAGCTAAGGTTTTGGGTTTTTGTTTGGTTTGTTTTTTAGTTTTTGGTTTTTCGAGACAGGGTTTCTCTGTGTAGCCCTGGCTTCCCTGGACTTGTTTGTAGACCACACTGTCCTCGAACTCATAGAGATCCACCTGCCTCTGCCTGAGTGCTGGGATTAGAGCATATGCCACCACTGCCTGGCTCTTAAAGAACTCCTTAAAAGCTTTTATCAACCTGATTGCACACATGAAAAATGTATCTTTTGCCTGTAGAATGTTAGCCCCATAGATGCGGTACTGTGCGTCCTGCTGTATATTCAGAGCTAGCACAGATGCTGGCACATCATGGGTGTTTGGGAAAATGGAGGGGATCACAGGATTGTCTGTATATTCAGTATAAAGTGCTCATGAATGGAAACTTGAATGGCTTGAGTCATTGTGAAGGGTCATTGTTTTTCTCTGCTTGAGTCATAGTAGGTGACCTCAGTCCCCTCCCAGACTTAACATGTCAGAGTCACACAGGCAAGAGAATGTTTACTGGGACTTGTCACTTTATTCACTTCATCTCCACAATAGCATGGAAAGTAGGATATTATTTTGCTTTAGAAGATAAAACAAGCTTGGTTAATTTTCCTCGCAAAATACAGAAAAAAAAAACAAACTTGGATTTGAACTCAGGTTGGCTAACACTAAGAGATTATGATCTTATTACAGACATGTGCTACCGTTTGAAATAATTTATGCAAATGACTACGTTTTATAGTAGATAATGTTTGCATTTCAAGTATAATAGGTGGCCCACAGCTTTTGTCTACTAAAAGGCTTTCAATACAAATAACATATGGACCAGTCAAATTCACATAAAGCTAACTTTTTTGAAACTATTATGCCTGCTGTTAGAAAGAGTAAATATTTTTTCCTGTCCTTAAGTAGCTTGCATTTTAGAAGTTTCTTCTTAGCAGATACATTAGTTACCCACAATGGTGGGTATCACTGTGACAGTCTCTCGCATATAAGCAGGGTATTGTTCATGTTTGTTCTCCAGTTGCCTCGCTTCCCACTTCTGCCTGGTCCTCTTTCTCTCCCCAACTAGTACTCTCTCTTTTCACATCATTTTCTTGTGGATTAACGAGCTTAATGAAGACACTTACCCAGATGGTGGGTGAGGGGTTATTTAAAGGCACATGGGTAGGTTTACCAGTGGCTGTGTCACTGAAGAAAATTCTTTTGTCTCTTTTAGGAACTTTAATTGCCTATACATCTTCAGGGAACGATTGGGCCTCTTGAGCTGTCCCCTGCCCCCAGCCATTAACTGCTTATAAGTCTCAGGGAAGGGCAGAACTTCTCTTTCCATAACAGAATGTTGATGGCCCAGTGTTATGCAGAAAGTCACAGCTGATGAAAGCTTGAGTGTAATACCTGGACAGTGTTATGCGAGACTCCACCCCTTTCTCTGACTCTGTCTCCTCTTCAATGATTTTTTTTTTTTTTTGAATGATCTAGATGACCCATCTAATAAGTGTTGCCTGTAGGGGAAATACAGTGATCACAAAGGTGATTTTTCCGGGTGAGGCTTATCCATTACCCTCCAGATGAACTGACCCCTGCAAAATTTCCACAGATGCTTGAAACTTGAGTGCATAATTTAAAATGTAATAATAATAAAATGATGACCCATCTAGAGCTTGCTCTCAGGCTTTCATTCTGCAGTAACTTGCACACTGCCCAAAGAAACTTTTCCAACTGAAGCTGACAATATGACTAGTCTGATGGACAGGCAAGTGTCCATTTCAGACATGTCTCCAAAACCAAAAGTGAGCAGTAGCTTCTCCACTAGGGCCTGTGACTTCCCAGGCCAAGGGCTTTGACCAGGTTTATAGTACTGTCCCTCCTGTTCAATAGCTTTAAATCCAACCCAAAACAAAAAGTGTTGGCTGCCTCAACAGTAATGCAAGTGGCATTACAAGTAATACAAGTGGCACATCTTGCCTGGACCCTCAGCTCAATAGGACTGCCGATGACAATTCTCCAGACCATGCAGCATCTTCTGGAGCTACAAAAGCCAGCGTGCAGGAAACTCCCAGCCCTGTACCCTATAACCACACTACCTTCAGCAACAGGCTCTTCCCATCAAGCCCTGGTAAGCTCTTCTTAAAAAAGGAATCTCAAGAAATTTACCTACTTCCTCATTCCTCAGTTTTGTTTAATATAAAATGAGGATAAAAGTCTTTATCCTGCATAATTGCTTCATAAGATTTGCTTGGCTTAATATATTAAATAAAAGGCAGTTTCAAATAATTGCAGTCACTCACATTCTTCAGTGTAAAACAGACCATTAAAATCATAAAGCTAAGCATGAAAAAAAAATCAAAAATCTCTAATATTCAATGCTTTTGTCTTCAAAGAATTTTGCACCAGAAAGTGATCACTGAATCCAAGAGATTCAACACACTGAAATGGAACTCTGAAAGGTGTTAGGAACTGACCATATAGCTGTGCTTAGTGGCGCACACCTGTCATCCCAGCTCTCGGGAGGCAGAGGCCGGCAAATCTCTGTGAGTTCAAGGCAAACCTGGTCTGCAAAGCCAGTCCAGGACAGCAAGAGCTACACAGAGAAGCCCTGT